CCACACACAAAAGCAAAAGACCTCATGGTCTTACCATGACTGTAGCTGATCCCTGGGCTAAGAGAACTGCTGCATGGCTGGTCTTTGGTCTGAGCATGAAGCCCTTCCTTCCCCTGCTTTTGGCTCATCTTCCCAGGAGTCAAAGGCGGAGCGTCGTCACCAGGCATTAAGGCAGCTGAGGCAGAAAGCAAAAATCATATTCTGGAGTTGCAGGAGACACATAACAGTGCTGTGAAGAAAGACTTTTGTTTTTAAATCCATCTTTTAGTGAACAACCCTAAAAATCCTAAAAAAAGGACACCTTAATTACACATCTCTAAGAAATCAATCTACTCTTCTTTTGGAACTTCTGTTTCAAATCAATAACAATTGTGCACATACTGCCCTCTCGTGTCACAAAAATGCAGTGCATCCAATTTAAACAGAATTCTACCAAAGCTTTATGACATGATATTTTTCTCAATAGAAAAGCCTATGGCATTGATAACAAACCATACATTTATTCTAGCCCTAGTTCTAGTAAGATAAAAAATTAAATGACTTGCTTCAACATGTCATGCAGACATAAGTCCTATTGTAATTTTCTAGTGAAGATCTCGGTGCCATTTACCAGAAATCTCAGTACATTTAGGTACAAATATTCTTTAACAACAATCTGAGCAAACAGGAAAGACAGACTACCTGTATCATAAGAGTTTGGTTCAATGGTGTGAGTGCATGTCTGTACAAATCTGTAATGTTGACATCTGTAACACTGCATCACACAAATTCAAAGGACTTACATTGTACAGGATTAATTATTCGAAAGGCAAAACATGACTGAATTTTATTGAAGTTCTGAAGATTCCTGCATTCTATTTATATTGAAGGGAATATCTTTAGACACCTCAAGTGCACACTGCCACCATAAAAAAAAGAACTTTGGCAGAAAACTTGTGTACTGTGTAACAAACCATCAAAAGCAGTACAATTATCAGTGATAAACATCATTAGAAAACAACAAAAACTCCTTCTCCTAACTAGGTCGTTCTTTACTTTTAACATGCCTTGAAGAATTTGCTGTTTCCTGTTATTGCATGTTTTTTTTTTGCCTGAGAACACAAAGCACTCTGAGGAGGTTCATCAAGGATATTCTGGTTTACTGAGTTTCTGTGCTGTCAGGTAAATTGAAGGAAAGTATGATAACTATGCTAAAAGGTTCTTTTATTACAGTACATACAGCATTTGATGCCAAGAATTCTCTATCCCCTCATGAAAAGTGTGTTTCTGGACAGCAAAGAGAACATGTTCATGCCTAATGAACCACGTGGTGACTGTGTGACATTTTAGTTAACCTGCAAAGCTGTCCAGACGTGACAAGCACATGCCTTTTGTTCACAAACTGCTGAAGAAACAGGAGTCCTTGAGAAAATGGCAAATGGCCCATGGCCACGGTGTTAAAAAAGCCGCTCATCTCTCTTAGCGCTGGAATCTTTGGAGCTGTCTGTGTTAAGTCTCTGCCAGAGCACATGCTGAAAAAAACATGTTGCGAAACTACCATTCACAGAGTTGCACTGTTAAAACACCCACTTCTCTAGGGTGTTGATGCATAAGAGATACATATAAAATGTCAGCCCAATTAGGGCATCTATGTCATCATTTAATATTTAATTAATCAATCTGCTTCTTTATAAATACATATGACAGTTATGTCTTCTGTTGTATCACTGCTAGCCAACACTCAAACTGTCTACATGTTTACTTGTACATTGTCTACTGTTTGTTTTTATATTGTCTTGATGCACTGTTTGCACTTTGTTTTGTTTTTTACACTTGTTTTACAATCGAGAGACTTTCTGTAAGTAAGGATTCCATTGTACCAGTACCGGTTACATACGGCAATACAGTTCAAGTTCAAGTTCAAGTTCAAGTTCAAGTTCAATACATACTGTACATCTCTTAACTCTTAACAGACCCCCAACCCCCCCTCTCTCTCACACACACACAAACACAGACATACACAGTGTTTTTTCTGGAAGTGGAACTGGGAGTGTCTGACTCGAGGCTCTGTTTTTGAATACAAGGTCATGTTCCATTTGTTTATATCCGCCACAGAAACATTTATTTATTTTATTAAACATTTATTTACAGGCAGGACCTTTTGAGGACTTCTCTGCTTTACTAATTGAACATTTCTATTTATACCTCACAATATTTCTCCAGATGTGATCCAATCCATCCTTGGTGATAAAACCTGACAAAAGCACAACTGAATCGGTGTTATTCTGGGACCTGTACCTAAGTGGCCTTTACGAAATAAGCAGTTAGTCAAAGACAACCACTGGGAATTGGAAACTGGGCCTCAGAATAAACATGAACATATACAATGTCAGTGTGAAGTATAAACATCTCTCAGAAAGGCCGGGTGAGCAGGAACACAGAGCGCTTCATTCACTGAAAGAACTGCCACAAACAGGCAGGAGGCTGGTCCCTGCTGTAGCTGTGTCATTACAGATAAATAGAAACAGTCAGAGAACAAACGGTGGAAATCTGACCTAATTAACTAAATCAGGAGACACTTGTACACTTCACAACACTAATTTCAATCATTCCTGGAAGCTGTCAGATGTCAGTACACGCCCATACAGAAGGCATCTTTCCCTAGTTATTACCAGGCAAGCCTTTGGTGCCATAAAAACCTATAGAACATCTACCCCAGTTTAAACACAACAGGGGAAAATGCTACAGCATGAAGACTTGAAAAGAGGTAATCAAAACTACAACTAGGAACCTAAATCTTTATTAAGGGAATCACAAAAGTATAAAACTAACAATATAAAAAAAAAGAAAAAAATGATAAATTGGGTGGCAAGGGGGTGCAGAGGTTAGCATTGCTGCCTCAAAGGCCTGAGGCCAGGGTTTCAGTTCCAGACTGGTACTATCAGTGTGGAGTTTGTATGTTCTCGACAGGCTCAGCATGGGTTCCCTCTGGGTGCTCCAGTTTCCGCCCACAGTCCAAAGACATACTAGTAATTTCTAGGAAAATTGGGCCTAGGTGTTAGTGTCCGTGTGTCTATGAGGGCCATGTTTATGGACTGGTGTTCCATCCAGGGTGTACCCAGCCTTGCATGTGTTGAATGGCATGATAGGCTTCAGCTTCCTTGCTATCCTGAATTGGGTGAAGAGGTTAGAAAATATATGGATGGAGAACACTAAATTGTAGATTTTCATTCTTTCAATGGAGGAAGATAATGAAATACAGCAAGCGGCAAGCATTAAGCAGATAATTATGCATACACTGAATTCTCCATGTATCTTTGTTTTGCTTCCAGCTTTTATGAATTGCATATGGAGATCTTATTCGGTTTTTGTTTACTCTCATGAACATGAAAAGAGCACAGGGACAAGACGCTACTGATACTCCACTTGGTGAGTGCTCATCAAATGCATAAAAAATAAGATTAAAAAAAGGGATTCTGTTCAAACATAATACAGTAGATGAAGTGGGAAAACAGGAACTCTTGAGTTCAAACTGTACAGTAGATGTAGCATCAACACTCCAAAGGAGATGTGACCCAGATCAGAAACTACTCACATACAGTAGCCACAGACATTAAGCCAAACACTCAATGCAAGCTCCTAGTGAAACAACATACAGTTGGAATTATCTGGATTTCTGCGTGAATGGCTCCTAAATTGTGATGTGATCTTCATCTAAGTCATAATAATAAATAAAGTTTGTCTTTTTTAACAAAAAACACACAAAACACTTTACATTGCCATATCTTTATTGAAGAAATGGTTTAAACAATCAAGACCATTGGTGGAGTCAATGACTCAGGTGTTCCAATCAATTCAGGTGTGGGTTTGTCCTGCCCTGTCATATAAAAAAATTACACAATTTGGGTTACTTGCTCTTTACAACAGAATTCTGTTGAAGTGCAATATGGCCCGATCAAAAGAGATTTCAGAGGACCTCAGAAGAAGAGTTGTTGAGGCTCATAAGACTGGAAAGGGTTACAAATACATTTCTAAAGACTTGGGCCTCCATCAGTCCACAGTCAGGCAGATAGTTTACAAATGGAAGAGATTCAGCGCCGCGGCTACTCTCCCTAGGAGTGGGCGTCCTACAAAGATCAGCGCAAGGGCACGCCGTACAATCCTCAAACAGGTGACAAAGAACCCTAGGGTGACAGCTAAGGATCTGCAGGCACCTCTTGCACTTGAGAACGTCTGTGTTCATTAGTCTAACATGAGAAAACACTGAACAAGAGTGGTGTTCATGGGAGTTTACCACGGAGGAAACCACTGCTCTCCAAAAGAAACATTGCTGCCCGTTTCAAGTTTGCTAAAGACCACCTGGATGTTCCACAGCACTACTGAAACAATGTTCTGTGGACAGATGAGACAAAAATTGAACTTTTTGGTAAATGTAAACAGCGTTATATTTAGAGAAAACAAAACACTGCATACCAACACCAAAATCTCATCCTAGCTGTGAAGCATGGTGGAGAGGGAATAAGGGTGTGGGGCTGCTTTGCTGCCTCAGGACCTGGACGGCTTGCAATCATTGAGGGACCAATGAATTCCAAGTTCTATCAGGAAATTCTACAGCAGAATGTCAGGGCATCTGTCTGTGATCTAAAACTAAAAAAAAAGCTGGGTCATGCAACATGACAATGATCCAAAAGACAGGAGTAATTCAACAACAGAGTGGCTCAAACAGAAGAAATTCCGGATTTTAGAATGGCCAAGTCAGAGTCCTGATCTCCATCCCACTGAAATGCTGTGGCGTGATCTGAAGCAGGCCGTTCAAGCAAGACATCCCAAAAATCTACATGAACTGAAACAGTGTTGTATAGAGGAATGGGTCAAAATACCTCCTAACCACTGCACAGGTCTGATCAGCAGCTACAGAAAGCATTTGGTTGAGGTTATTACCAATAAACCACTAGTTACTAAATATAAGGATCACATCCTTTTTCCATGAATGACCATTTGTTCAATTAAAATATGGCAATGTAAAATGTGTAGATGTGTTTGTCAAAAAGACTGTCTTTATTATTATGACTTAGATAAAGATCAGATCACATTTTAGGAGCAATTCATGCAGAAATCCATATAATTCCTAAGGGTTCACAAACGTTTTCTCACAACTGTATATCTACAATAAAATTTGAAACTACTACGCTTATTGTAAGTACATATTTCCCACTTTAAGGCCTATGTTTTTACAATAGATTTTAATATTTATTTTTTTGTTTATTTTTTAATCCACTGTGCACCTTTTTGTTTACTTTTGTGGTTTGTGTTACAAAATTACTTACCATAAAATGTTTATCTATCATATGGTTTATCTACCATAAAATGCATGAAATACTAGTATCAAAAGAAATTAACCACATGATGTTTTAGTTTTTATACAAATAAAGTATTTGGATTTTGATGAAGTGATCATTCATTCTGACCCCAGAAACATAAGAATGGTTACAAAGAAGACAAGGTCATTTGTCAAATCTACTCCAGCATCCATTGCTACATTCTAATGATACATTCCAGTGACTCTGCCTGTTGCATAAGCCATAAATTATTTCATTAAAGAAAGATTGAGCACCGGTGTTTGGGCCTAGCGCAAATCAAGACAGAAATACAAAGACAATCAGGTAGCTGATGGAATTGGTTTCAGTGGACCAGTAGGTGGCACTCTTCTCTTTGTATTAGAATTTCCAAACACCAGAAGCCCCATATGGCTAGGAACACTGTAGTATATTTGTATTTCTACAAACTGATCATTAAATAATTCATATTCATATATTTGTTGATTTCCCTTATAAACAGTAGACATTGTAGATAGATATTGAAGTTGTCTTGCACGTTTGGTGTCAGAATAATTCTCCTTACCCTAGGAATGCTGTGTGACCAGTAAGGGTGTCTGTAGTGCCTTATAAATCATGCTGGGGCACATTCTTAAACCACTGTTTTAAGTGAGAGATTAAGCTCCAAAACCTTTAAAATAATCATTAAAAAGCAACACAGTATTTTGGGGAACAGATATACAGTATTTACTGTGCAAGTTCCATAAGGTAACATTTTTGGCAACACACACTGTCTGAATTTTCCAACTAACCTTTCTAGGCGAAAGGAGGTTATATTGGACTCTAATCTGTATAGGAATGCAAAAATAGCAGTGACATGAGAAATAACAGTGAAGAAAAATGGATATTGTTCTCTTGCACAGTCTCTGTATAGTGTTAAGTGATGTTTTCAGAACTTTGGTATTGAACTGCGAAGTGATTGCTGGATATTTATTCTTAAAGAACTAACTTTGGATCATCAAAGTGATACAATCCCTCAACCAAAAAAGCAAACCTTATGGATGCCTTCTTACTTTTATTAAAAACTAAGAATCACAAGTTATGGATTTTCTGTTTTTGGAAAACACTGTTCTTTACTAATCACAGTAAAACAAAAAAAAAAAACATGTTATTGATCATAGAATAAAGCAAAATGTCAAATGTTTCCCTATACACTGTAAAGCAGCATTTACGGTACTTAGAAGAAAGGGTTTAACACACTGAAGATCAAATCAGAACAAATCTGAAGTAAATGTATTACAATGCATCTGATCTTGTAACTGAGCACTGGATGATGGTGAAAGGTGACTAATAATATGAACTGTTCAACACACCAGAAGCAGATGTTAAAGATATTGCACCCCTGAAGAACACAATAATTATACAAACTCCAGGCAAAACAATCCTTATGGAATTAAACAAATATATGTCTGTTCTGCCTAATCTATGAGAATAATTACTGCTTCCACACTCCGCACTGAAAATTGACCTATTGAGCAACACCTAGTACACTCCAGTGGCATGCATTTACAGTATGTATGGAAACTCCTGATTATTCCTTATTGAAGACTATTTGAAATTTTGACATTTGGAATACCCACAACGCAATCAGCACACTGATATGTTATCAGAAGTGCGCGCTTTAGCAAGACACCCAGGTAAAGGCTGGGTTTCAAAAAGCTAAGCCTGTGGCCTTTCAGAGAAATGTTATTGCTTGCTTCCTCTTTTCGTTTCTGTTTCAAGCCAAAGAAAGGTCAAGCACTTACTTGATGTCCCAAGGTGGTCTCTGATCTCTCCATGATGCTGTTAGTGGGTTTATGGGGGGTTTTGGTGAAGGGGAGGCAGTCACAGGATCCAGCCAGTTGGGGTGGAACAGTTTTTGTTTGTGTGTTTGTTTTTAAAGCACCAAGCAGCAATGATAGCAGCAGCGGCGGCAGGAGAGGAAGAGAGAGGAAGAACAAAACAAGTTAGTCAGTGTTCGGAGCAAAGCATGCAAACTCATAATAAGAATCAAACAACATAAAAACAAGACCTGCCAAAAATACTGGGTCATGCCGTTAGCCAAGCATTGCTATTTAAAGCAACACAAACTGGCCACATGTCAGCTTGCACTTTTGCTATGAAACATAGTAGCCTGGATTAAGAAAGATTACATGAAAAGGATATAAAATGAGGTAGGGATGTCGGCACTCCATTCAGATCTACAGTACCTGGCTAAAAAAATGTTACGCACATCTGCTTCTTAGCTTCATGCTGTCTCAGATGTTGTAATACAGCGTACTTCCATCCTTTGTTTTAGGGAGAAACTATTGAGGCATTTCTTAGTTTTCTTATTACATTGCCAGAAATGTTTCACAACGTTCCTTTTGTGTGTGTTCCTGAAGTTATTTTTAATTATGTACCGATAAAATTAAGCCACAAACTGTTTCTATCGACTCCTTCTCTCTTGTTTCACTCCACACCGTGCTTCTGCAATTCTGCTCCTTTCCCCTGCTTGGTATTTCATTCCGTTGAAACAAAAACTCTTAAAATCTGCTCGAAGGAGCTGGAAAAGAACTTGACCAAAACATATACCTGTACAGTCGAGGGTTGTAACATCAAAATAAAATATACAATAAAATACACACTTCACCCTACAGCATCAACTAAGACACAACACTGAGCCTTAAAGGGGAACTGCAATGCTATATTTTTATATTTCAGGGTTAGAAAGAAGCATCATTGATGATTAAATTTCAAACCACAATAACATGTAAAACCTCCAATTTTCATAATCAAAATAGATGAAATTTACAGATAAGTGTAACGCCATAATGCCGTCATTGTCTGCTTTTCAGAATGAGGCTACAAAACATCCGGTGAGGTGAAGTGGCCCTGTTATATTGTAAACAAGTAGGCTTGTGAGTAATCCAACAGAAAAATTGCTCTTAGCCATAAAACCATATTTTATGCACATCCTAACTTAAAACATAATTATGTTTAAGTTACTATACTATAAAGTACTGATATCATCCTCTCACTGCGTCCTCTTTTATTGGTTGCTTTAAATGGGCCAAAAAGGTTGGAATGGCAACTGGTCTGAGCACAAGTTTTGGTTCAGTATTTGAAATGAAAATATATTTCATATAACAAACTGTCAGGCTTCAGAATCGAATCAGAAATTTGTACAATTTTGCAATACGATCAATTAATTTATTTTGTTGCTGAGATTTAATAGCCGGTCTGAAAAATTGGGACTGCAGTTACCCTTTAACAGTAGCATAACTTTAATTTCCTGAATGGGCAAACAACTAGAACACTTGAGCATCACTTAAGGTCTTTACTACTCACGTTTTCATTGCTCATTTTTCTTGAAAGGAACTGCACTCCCTTCTACATCCTATAAGATACTGTACATGCGCAGTATAGTCCCACACACAAGTAAAAGTAATTGACAAAAAATGATTATTCGATTTAAGTTTTAATTCATTATTAAATGTAACTTTCCAGATACATCAGCTGAGCGCACCTTCTCAATAACAGTGACGACTTGAAGAGCTACCTATTTACACAGCAGGGCATTTTTCAGGAGCAGTTTTAGTGAACTGCCTTGCTTATACAGTAAATATAATAGCAGCATCCAATCCAGGATTTGAACCCACAACCTTCCACATCCAAAATACCATCACAATGATTTACATCATTCAGGCAATCCTCGCACAGAGGGCTGTTTGAAAATGACAGGCTTTGTAACACGATACCAGTACCAACTAAACACCTCACATTCTTAGCTTTAACATCTTGTTACTACAGTACATGTAATCTTTCAAAGGGAATACCTCCCTATCCTCAGGAGTAGGATAGTGGAATACTTCCCATGGCAAATGCCAGATAACCACTGCAAGAGATATGAGATGCCAAAACAAGGGCCAAGAACTTCCTTTTAGTATTAGCAATGAATCCACATTTTGATAGAACATACAATCATACTGAATTTATTAGGGAAACTAAAGAGACATCTTCATTCCTGAAACACTTCCCTTATCATTTTATTACCAAAAATGATGCACACAGTAGTTGGATTTCTTTAGAAAAAATATTTGTGTTTGGTTGGTAAACCTTTGGTGAAGTATGCATCAGTGCATTTTTTTTTACTGATTAATAAACAGAAAGCTAAATCACGTCTGTTATTAAAGACACAGGAAGACTGTTTTCTAAGGGTCCACATTAAATTGAGCGTCTCTTAAACAGATCTTTAAAAGGCAACTGAAACAACCTAGGGTTATTTTTGTATAGTAATTATATTTGATTACGTATGCGGGTTTATACTGACTGGATTACTGAGCTCCTGTGTATCATTATTCGTAGAGAGTACAGTAATTATATTTATACACTCAAATCCCAAGAGGAACTGTATTCGATTTTGAATTTATCTCGGCATCAGAAAAAAACTCTGCTGTAAGTTTACCATAGAAAATTACAATACCAGTTTAGATATATTCATAAATTAATAAGATACTTGTTACTCTAAATAATAGGACAAATGCAGCATGCAAAATGCTGTTTCATTAAAACCTGTGTACTTTCCCATGCAGTATTTCTCTGACTTTAAAAGTCTTTTTCTTTACGCTCTTTTTAGGAAGAACACTGATATTTTGACTCTCCTCATGCTGCCTGCCATACCCCTAAGTGGCAACACTTAATTCTGTTTTACAGTATCGGATTTAGAGAAGTGGTGCATGCTAAACACTAGGCTATTACACACTCAAGACAGCAATTCATTTACAGTATACTGTGAAAAATAAGAACCAATATTGCACACAAGACAACAGATCAAGCCTTTTATCAAAACCCATGCATTACTTACGTAAACTGTGGCCGGCATAGTTAAAGCCTTGCGTTCTCACCATTAGGTATTTTTCACTCTGACACCCTCAGTCACCTGCTCCAGCCTGCTCCCTTCCAGGCTTCACAGTGACACAGCACAGCACTACACTGTGTCTTTCTGCAGAACAGTAGAGGAATGATCTCTCTGAGGATCAGCTGTATTCAGTTCACAGGGAGGAAATGTCTGAGTATCCAGGTCAGTGTTAGAAGAACGCTGTTTCATCTGGGGTGCCGTCTGGTCTGTGCATTCAGACATCAAGGAAGCGGTCCCCATGTCTGAACGGCACGCTGTGACATGTACAAAACATCACCGGCTTCAACTTTAAACCAGGCAACCACAGCACAGCATGCCCAGCCTGTAAGCTGCAGCCTTGCCAAGTGGAAAGTTCTGGAAGGCAGTAAAACATGCCACATGTGTCACACATGCCTGGCTCTCCGTGCCACTAATTGTACCTTCTACAGATTAATGCAGGAGGAGGGAGGCCTTAAAAGTCATTATTCAAAATAATCATTACTCTCTTTTCATTACATTGTGAGAGTATTTCTTTAGGTTGCCTGCTGTGCATTCCTTTATTTTCTTAAGGATGAATGAAACATAAAAAAACATAAGAGCCATACAGTACCTCATGCAATTCTATTTATGAGATATCTGAAGAAAGAGCGGCACATTACAGTGAGCTGTTTTTCCCTCAAATCTAAGAAACCTGACAGGAAAAATATTTCAAGGCTTGAGTTGGATTCTACAGTATATGTTAACGCTGTATATGTTAATGTTAAGTTATGAAGTCAAAACGTTGTACCAGCAATTTATTACTTTCCCATTTCAGAGGGCAGGCCAAGGATCCTTAATGAAAATGAATATTCTGCAGTGTGACTTATACATTATAAGCTTTACGGGATTTTCTATATACCCCATAGGTGCCATATTTGCATTGGGTGCAGGCAGTGAGTAGCAATAACAGCATGGAGCATTTTCAAAATGGTACTATGCATATTCCTAACTACTTAAATACTTCGGCCTAAACCCTAAAATTCTACAAAACTGACATACATACCACAGTTTTTCTAGAAACTAAAATCTAAGCATTAATTTTGGGCACCTGGTAGCCATTCGACCAATATGTTGCTAGTCAGCAAACGGAATGAGATGATTTCTGGCAAAAAATGCCAGTGAAAGAACATTATGCATTTTCAAACCAGTACGGATCAACAGTGACAAACACAATTTTATTTCAAATCTACTATTCATGGCCACAGTTCAGAATTCAAAACTTAGACTAAAGGCTTTTAGATAGAAGGGAAAAGCAAACAAAATCCCTCTATGTGAAAGTAATACTAAATGAATAAAAGAGTAACCTGATATCTTTGAGACATCTATAGTGCATTACAAATCAAACATTTTGGAATAGAAAACATAAATAACATAATTAACTATTATCATTTGCTGTGAAAGATTCTGAGGTTACTCCCTTAGTTTCTTGCTGTAGTCCTCACTTTTCGCATCATTTTTTTATCAAAGCCTAATGTACAGTATCTCACACTCACTCTAGTACCCTCCAAAGAGAGACAGATCACTCATTTACACTCAAAGTAAGTAAAGCTTTAAAGTAGTTTCTTTTTTTCTTTTAATTCCTCTGTAAGGGACAGAGAAATATAAAGATTACTATAACAAGTGACAGCTTCAACGTGATTCGGAGTGATACTAAGATCCAACAAAGTGATATTTCAATGACAAGAGCTGATTTGACAGCTGAAGAAACTCTCTCTACAAAACAACAAAGGGAAATTCTCACTCTCCTCCCCAGGTCTTGGAAATGATACTGTAAAAAGGATGACAAATACCATTCCAGAAGCAGTCCGGACTCTTCGTTGTTGAGGTCTTTGTTTTCTGCCTTCAGTTTCCTCTCCTGCCACCTTTTCACATGATCAATAACAGA